CTTAGCCAATTACTTGCACAAGTACAGTGCGAACTACGCGGAGATGGCTCGGCCATTATCAGATCTCCTTAAGAAGGACGCACCATGGTGCTGGAACGTCGAGCACGACGGAGCCTTTGAGGCTGTGAAGGAGAGCCTTCTCCAGGCTCCGATCCTTGCGCTACCGGACCCGGATAGTCCGTTTAGCGTCGTCTGTGACGCCTCCGATTTTGCAATCGGTTGTGCTTTACTACAAGCAGACGCCGAAGGGCGTGAGCGCGTGATCGCGTTTGAGTCTCGCCAGCTCAAAGCTGCAGAGAAGAACTATCCAGTTCATGACAAAGAGCTACTTGCAATGAAGTATGCTCTAGTCAAATTCAGGGTACACCTGCTAGGCTCTAAGCCTTTTGTGATCTTTACTGATCATGCGTCGCTACGCACTGCGACACAGTCGCCTCATCTCTCTCAGAGAATGGCAAGATGGCTTTCCTTCTTTGCCGAGTATAACTTCGAGGTGAAGTACAAGCCGGGGCGGCTTAATGTAGTGGCCGATGCGCTCTCGCGCAGGCCGGACTACGAGTTAGCTCATGTCACGACAGTGACGTCGTCAGTGCCTGACTTGATACGCGGAGCGTATGCACAAGACGACATGTGCGTAGCGCTGCTACGGGCTCTTGGGAGCGAAGAGTTTAAAGACTCTGACAAGGAATTGTCTGGGCGCTTACGCGCGAGGCTGCATCGATACTCACTCGATGGCGGCCTGCTGTACTACAGCACCGACGCTGAGGATAACCCTCGTGTAGTCGTTCCTCATGATGAGGATCTAAAGTATCGAATCCTCTATGAGGTTCATGATACGCCCGTGGGCGGGCACTTAGGTCGGGAGAAGACCTATGGCTCGGTGAGCTCGATGTACTGGTGGCCCAAGATGTATAAGTGGGTCGGCACCTATGTACGCACGTGTGAGACGTGTCAACGGACAAAGTCCGCGCCGAGCACGGCAGCGCCATTGGCGAGTTTGCCTGTCCCCAAGGGATGCTGGCAGTCCATGAGTATGGACTTTGTGTTTGGCCTTCCCAAGGATAAGGCGGGAAACACAGGTATAGTGGTCTTTGTAGACCGATTGAGCAAGATGGATCATTTAGCGGCAGTGCCGGACACCATTGATGATGAAGGTACAGCTTTGCTGTTTTTAGACCGAGTCTTTCGCCAACATGGCTTGCCTGAGGCAATTGTCTCGGATCGAGATCCGCGCTTCACCGCGAAGTTCTGGACGTCCCTCTTCAGAGTGCTCGGCACTCGTTTGGACATGACCACGGCGGACCATCCGCAGACCGATGGTCAAACCGAACGCGTGAATCGCGTGTGGAGGATACCCTCCGAAGCGTATGCGCTGAGGCGCCAAAACGCTGGAGCCAGATGCTCCCACTCGTTGAGTTCGCATTAAATAATGCAGTGCACGCCTCGACAGGCTACACTCCGTTCTATGTGAACGGCTTGGTTAACCCTCGCGTCCCACTGACGCCGCCACGCAGTGGCTCAGGGCTTGGTGGGGGAGGGATAGCCGAGCGGCTAGCTGATGTCAGCCCTGTTGCGGTTCGCAAGCAAGTCGATGACTTTGTCTCTTTGAGACTGAGCGTAATGCGTCAAGTACGCGACGCTATGGCTGAAAGCCAAGACACGCAGAAGGAACATGCAGATGCCAAGGGCAGAAGCAATGTTGAGAGGTTTGAGGTCGGTGACCAAGTTTTATTAAACGCTAAAAACCTACCTACTCATGCAGTGTCTGCAGTCTTCAAGACGAAGTTAAGACCGCGGTTCATAGGACCGTTCAAGGTCGTGGCCAGGAAGGGCCTAGCGTATACGCTCAACCTTCCGAAGAAGATGCGCACGCATCCGGTCTTCTATATCGGCTTGCTTAAGCCATACCAAGACCCTGCCCAGGTGAGCACGGAGGCGTTGGCACCAACGGTGGCTGGGCCACGGACAGCTGCAGGGCAGCAGGTGGTAGAGCCACGGGAGGCTGAACGACAGCAAGTGGTGGATCCACAGATGGCTGATCAACAGCATGTGGCAGAGCCACAGGTCGCGGAGCGAAGTGCTCGAGATGCAGGAGCAAGGCAAGCTGAACGTTCAGCCGAGCAGCTGGACGCTCAAGGTCCGAGACCTGGTTGTGAGTCAACAGTGGTGGCTCTAACCTATCCACAAGGTGGATCATCTCTTCGAGATCGACCGATGGGCGGTGAACGTTCGCGTCGTGGACGCCGGCGTCGTGGACGCCGGCGTCGTATGGACGCAGACGCCGTTCCGGCAAGTGCTGACTCTCCCCGCGAGAGCCCAGCTGAGGCAAGGCCTCCTCCTGCTCTGCTCGATGAGCATGGTGAGCTCCACTTTTCACGTAAAACGCTTTGTGGGGGGGGGAAGACGCCAGGGTCGTACCCAGTACTTAGTGAAGTGGAGGGGTTACCCTCACTCACAGACTCATGGAGTTTGAGCTATCTTCCGGCAAGATTGCCCTGACGTCGTTGACGTTACGACTGGGCACATCATGTGCCGAAGCGCCATCATGGCGTGCGACAGCGTCGCCAGGCGCTGGCGCCTCCCACTAGAGTGGAGAGCGATGAGGTCAGTAGTTGAGCTCAGGCTCTGACCAGTGGCTGCAGCAGCCAGCTCGTACGTATGAGCGGTGCTCGCAGCGGGAGCAGGAGGTGGAGAGACCTCGTAGTGTTAGGGACATGGTCCCGAAAGGAAGCAGGTGCTTCGTGTTGTGCTGAACAAGGTTCAGGCACAAGCGTCTCGATAGACGCATAGTTGTTTTGAAACAACTTGCTCGATGAGCATGATCCAAATGTGGATGCGCTGTAACAGCGAAAGTGGTGTCCCGCACGGGGATCGAACCACTGGCCTTTGGCTTGACAGGCCGGAGCTCTACCATTGAGCTACAAGGGCGATGCCCGTACGTCAGTCCGAGAACGGACTACTCATGGTATGAGAGGGCTGCGCCCGGGTGGATTTGAACCACCGACCTGTGGCTTTCAAAGCCAGCGCTCGACCACTGAGCTGAAAGGGCGTTGCCCTTAAGCTTGTCCATTCAAGGACAACAGTTCATGGAACGAGAGGGCTGTGCCCTGGCGGGTTCGAACCACCGACCTGTGGCTTCCAAAGCCAACGCTCGACCACTGAGCTAAAAGCGGATTGCTCTTAAGCTTGTCCAAGCGTGAACGATCGTTCATGGAACGACAGGGCTGTGCCCTGGTGGGCTCGAACCACCGACCTGTGGCTCTCAAAGCCAGCGCTCAACCATTGAGCTAAAAGGGTGTTGCCCTTAAGCTTGTCCAAGCGTGAACAATCGTTCATGGAACGAGAGGGCTGTGCCCTAGTGGGTTTGAACCACGGACCTATCGCTTGTGAAGCGAGTGTTCAACCGCTGAGCTGTTGTCGACGACTCGAATGAGTCAAGAGCATTGCTCTAAGCGGTTTGCAGCTCTTGGAGTAGGCGCGGAGCGCGAGCGTAGGTCTGAGACCGCTTGAGAGCAAGATGCGCGCTGCGCTTGGAGCATTGGGCCGTGGGCCGACGACGAGAAGTTGGGCATCAACGATGCGTAGGCGTTTGTGAGCTCACGGAGCTGTACAACGCTGGTGTGAGGTGTAGTAACCTCCGCCGTCTTAACAAGACGTGACCTCGCTGAGGAGAGTTTCGAGAACGGAATGTTCTCATCTTAGTGGGGGAGAGTGTAACGGGGTTACATGGTGTGGAGCACACAGGGGTACGAAGTACCCGGAGAGTTAACAAATTCTCAGTACATAAGTTGGAGAGTTAACAAGGTCTCTCAGTACGTTGGCTGAAAGCCACACGTTATGCATTTGATTAGGTTTAACTATGCTAGATAGTTAAAGAGATACATTTACCCCTAGGCGGCTTGGCCGCAATAATAGTAAATAAAACACTTCTGGTTTTGAAGCATAAAAGTTAAGGTATTAACTTTGAGCCCTGGTCTTGGGCTGTAAGTGTCCTTTGGATAAGGAACTTAGTATTAGTGACTCTTTGAGTCGAACGTCTTCCTCTGACGCTAAAGCTACGGCAGCCCCGCTGCACATCCGGCCTTGTCCCCCGCCACGTAAGACGATAGGAGGGAACTCGCACACCGTTCCAGTACTCCACCGTAGCGTTCCAATACAATCACACCATAACTTCACCAGTCTCTTGTGCGAAGTGAGTGGGAGCTTGCGGGGTCAACGGGAACCAGCCTCCCGCCGTCGCAGCACGCTGACCTTCGCCGAGGTCCCTTGTCACAAAAGCCGGCCCGCCAGCGCCTGGCACGACGCCTACATTCCCGGGTACGGGACACGACACAGACTTCCCGTCAGTAACCTTACGACAGTGTCCTGGTCATCTCGTCCATCAGTTTGTAAAGCCCCCCCGGTAGTCCCAGTCACTCTGGTAGTCTTTTTTGCACGCTTCGCTGCTGCTGCGGCAGCGAAGCGCTCTCTCTTCTTCTTTTTGAGCGCCCCCTGACGATCTTTCTGAATCTGCTTTGCTCTGAGCGTGTCATTATCGTTCGGCGGGTTGTACAATGGGTCATTCTGGAACTTCTCAGGAACAAATGGGCGGACCTTTTTGTAGAAGGTCTAGATCTTTTTGGAACCAAATATTATTTGGTTGCCATTGTAGCCCCTGAGTACAGTACCTGGTACAGAAGTCCCCCTCAATAAGCGTAGAGGACATATGACAAATTATCATGAGGAAATTACAAAACTCTTGTGATTTGTTACATAAACCTTCAATCAAAGTGATTGGATATAAAGGGGTATATGAGGCTTATTTTGGGGGACTTATGGTACCGGTACACTGAAGTTAGCAATTGTTGACTCATACACTTGAAGTTCTTTCAAAACGAATCATTTCATTAATAGCCAATCATCCTGCTTCTATACCTTTTTTTCGTAATGTCAGCTCACGACACGTCCAAATTGGAGACCGTTACCGTCAACGTCAGTCGCAATTTTACGTTGAATCCAGTATGCCAGTCCCCGATCTGCCAGGAACCCCACAGATCCCAGCTAGCTATATCGCGGTCGAGGACGTGAATCCTAGCGTCGACATGTACGGATCCACTACAGACATCCCACCTCTGCCCGATGTGTCGAAACAGGACACACACGCTGACGTGGCTGCCTTGCGCGCCAGCTTCGCCACAGGCGCCACCAAGGACCCCAAGACGCGCAAGTCACTGCTGCGAGCGCTGCAACGACTCGTAAATGAGAACGAGGCTATTATCAATGAGGCTGTATGGAAGGATCTGCACAAGCATCCATTGGAGCTGTTCTCCACCGAAGTCGCACTGCTCAAAGCGGAGATCCAAGACTTTATCGACTATGTTGACGATTGGTCCAAGCCTAAACTTAAGACTACCAACATCGTCAATCTCCCAGGCCTGTCTTACATTAGACCTGAGCCTCTCGGCGTAGTCTGTGTCATAGGCACATGGAACTACCCGATAAACCTGCTACTGATGCCGCTGGTAGCCGCTCTTGGAGCTGGCAACTGTGTCGTCGTGAGACTACCGGGAGACGACACCACGCGCTTCCTGAACAACGTGTTGATCCAGCTGTTCGACAAATACATGGACAAGCGCTACGTCCGCTTGGTGTATGGAGGTGTCGAGGAGACCAAGAAGATGCTACAAGAGCGCTACGACCTCATCTTTGCCACAGGCGGCAATTTTCTGGGCAAAATTGTGGCTCAAGCTGCGGCACAATATTTGACACCAACGGTGTTGGAGTTGGGAGGCAAGTCTCCGTGTATAATTGACAACACAGCGGACTTGAAATTGGCTGCAAAGCGCATTGCCTGGGGAGCATTCTTAAACGGAGGACAGACGTGCGTTCGCCCAGACTATTTGCTGGTGGACGCAAAAGTGGGCGATCAGTTTGTGAAGCTGCTGGAAGGAGAACTGGATGTGCAATACGGTGGTGCCAACGTGAAGGAGTCGGACAGCTACGGCCGTGTAATCAACCAGCGCATGCACGACCGCTTGGTGCGCATTCTGGACAAAGATCGTAAGCATGTGGTCTATGGTGGCGATACCGACAACAAGCAACGTTTTATTTCACCAACGCTGCTAAACTTCCGCACTGAATTGGACTTATTCGTGTCGAGTGCCTCCATGGGCGAAGAGATCTTTGGCCCACTGCTGCCAATCTACTACTACACGTCGGGCGATTTGGACGAGCCTATTACCTTTGTCACTGCACGGGAGAAACCCCTTGCGTTGTACCACTTCAGCTCCAATGGCAAGAACAAAGAGCGTGTAGTAAACGAGACATCTGCCGGTAGCATGATGCTGAACGACATGCTTATGCAGCTCTCGAACGCGCACGTTCCATTCGGTGGTGTTGGCAACTCTGGCATGGGCGCCTATCACGGCCACTACGGATTTGAGGCCTTCTCGCACTACAAGTCGGTGATCTACAAGAACGGGATGCTGGATCTACCACAGCGTTATGCGCCGTACACTCCATCGAAGAAATTTATCCTAAGCATCGCCATGTACCCGTTCTCTCGACTGCACATGCGGCTGGTCAAGTCTCTTGGCTTCGCTGCGGTGCTTGCCATCATTGCTGTCATTATCAGGTACTCCGTCTGAGAAGACAGAGCAAATCTTGGTAAAAGAAAAGCTCTTCCATCTTTTTATTCTGAACTAGCCATTTGAACCGGCATAGTTGCAAAACTCAAATGAAGCAGTAATTTCGTTGTTTTTTTTTCACCTTGAATATACCTACTTGCTGTCTTTGTGGTCCATCGCTACCGCATCCTTTTCATCGTTGTTGGTAGCCTTCGTCCCCTTTGCCCCTCCATCGTCTTCAACATCCTCTGGGCCCTCCTCGTCCTTGCTGAGCTTCCCCTCTGAGCTCTTGCGTTTCCCACAATTCCTCGAAGTAGTATCACAGTCTTTGGCATCGGCGCGACGGTTCTCGACCGAAGCACGTGCTCGCATCGACTTCATCAGACCGATAAACGCGTCGTAGTCCATGGACGCGATCACGATCTCGAGGTACTGTTCCACTTTCGGATCAACCTTCATGGCCTTTTGGCAGTGCTCCGCAAACTCGTCCTCCGTCACTCCTTGCTGCGTCAGGAAGACTACCATACAATGCTCGTCAGTATAGACACACCAACGTTTTAACCATAATAAAGCGAAATATTCAACGCACTCTTCATGTGCTCGTTGAACATGTGCTGGAACTCCACATAGATGGTCATATATGCGAGCTGGTGTTCCAGGGCATCCGTGAAGGTGAGTGCATGATCCAAAAAGAACTGCTCGAACTGGCACTGGAACTGTGGCGTCTTGATATACTCTGCCAGTGCCCGTACCACGGGGTCCTGAATCTTGTCATCCATCGCGGCTGCAGATCACGTAAAGCAGAACAATTGCGTATTCTACAGCCTCTTTTTCTTGGACTGGATTGTTCTAACGTACGAGTCGACGCAGCCTACACCCAACACTGGAGAAACTGCTCATTTTTATTAAAAATAGTGGTTAACACAGCGCCTAAACAAATGGAAGGTCACTACGATTCCTGCTCGAAAAGATTCATGGTAACTTCAAGTAGGGACAGATCAAGTACAGTGCTTCTTCTCAGTAGCAGCCAAAGGATCAGCCATACGGTTTTGAAGTAGATTAAATATCTTTAGTTTAGTGCATATGCAATCCATTTTTGCTTTAATCGGATATGCAAGGGTACTGCAGGTAGCGGCGAGCGTTGGAAAGGAAGCAGCACAGTGCGGTCAAGTGTAATTACAGCATCTTTTTACGTAAAAAGCAACACGTGGCTCCCCCATTATAGCATTATTGCTGTGATCAATCCGCTGCAACCGTAGACAAAGATGGCGAAGTGGACGTTCTCCTTCGTGGCGCTATGCCTCACGGCACTGATGCTGGTTGTGCATGCAAACAAAGGTCCCAAGATCACCAACCAGGTCTACTTCGATGTGAGCATCGACGGTCAGCCCGCTGGCCGCATCGTCATGGGTCTTTACGGCAAGACAGTGCCGAAGACTGTGGAGAACTTCCGCGCGTTGTGCACGGGCGAGAAGGGCGTGGGCAACAGTGGAAAACCACTGCATTACAAGGAAAGCATCTTCCACCGCATCATCCCCAACTTCATGCTGCAGGGCGGCGATTTTACTGACTTCAACGGAATGGGCGGCGAGAGTATCTACGGCCAAAAGTTCCCGGACGAGAACTTCAAGCTGTACGACAACACTTTTATTGTGCTTTGTGTACAAGGTCCTTAAATTAAACTCACGCTGCTGTGTTTTGTGCAGGAAACACGCCGGCAAGGGCACGCTCAGCATGGCCAACTCGGGCGCTAACACAAACGGCAGCCAGTTCTTTATCTGCACCGTGAAGACCTCGTGGTTGGACGGACGCCACGTTGTTTTTGGCCGCGTCATCAAGGGCATGGACGTCCTCGACGCTGTTGAGGCTGTTGGCTCGCCCAGCGGTACCCCCAGCAAGAAGGTCGTCATCACGGACAGTGGTGAACTGGCTGCTGATGACTTTGTCGAGGAGGAGTAAGCGAACCTTGCAGACTTGTATTGCTCACATAGTATGTCGGAAACGGGTTCTTGAATTCATAAGATGCTACCCATGGGTTTTCCGCTCATTTGCTGACAGTGAGTGCCTTCCAAAACCCATTTAAAACGGCTTAATCAGTTTAATCGCTTATTTTAATTCTCTGGATTAGATTGCGGAATTAGTCCATTCGATATTATGAAGTTTACCGAATTATCGTACTAAGGGTCACCAACGAACCAACCAATCGGATCCTTCGATTGTAATACAGATGCCTCCATTACTTACGATAAGGTTCATTCTAATTTTACTTCGGCGGAAGCTAAAAGAACGGAGCCCAACACCACAAAGAAAACGGAAGGCCGTCGAAAAGTATGGTTCGCCCTCGCATCAATGGACCAGGAAAGAAGCGGAAGACCTATCAACGTAGGGCAGTAGAGTATGCGCATAAGAGAGACGTCCTCGACTACATTGACAGCGGTCACAGCCTTGACGAGACAATTTCACAGTTCTACGGCGACTAAAGTGGCTCCGTGTGACGGGGTCACACAGCACCTTGCGCTAGAGGAAGTTATCTTCCGAGAGTATACAAACTCTCAGTGAACGGCAGTTCACAGGTCCCCTCTTTAATTAAAGAGAGCGAAGTGACCTAAATAAGGTAGATTGTAAACTGAGTATATTTATAGGTAGGTTAAGTTTGAGGTTAATACAAACTATCAGTTACCTATAGTAATGCAATGTCATTTAACCAATGGTTGGTTTTGAATGACCTTGGTACCTTGTACCAAATATCCCGGAGTATGACATGTCATACTCCTGAAGTGTGAAGTGTCACACTTCATGTAACCAGGGTACACTTAGTGCTACGTACCCCGTTACATCCTCCCCCACTTAGGTTCGGTTTACCGACCAATCAGAATGAAGAGATGTTCGTCACAAACTCTCATTCTCAGAGTCGAAGACCATCGACTCCGCCGCGCGAGCGCGGCGGAGGCTCACTTTACAGTTAGAGCCTCGAGCAGCAACCTGTGCGCTCTTCGTCGAGGTCTCCACTTCGACCGTTAACATGCCTCGTGGCACTGCTAAGAACGGTGCTAAGACACGCTCCAAGGCTGCAGGCGGTAAGGCGCAGGCCAAGAGCACTAA